CGCTTCCGTTTCAGCGCTATCTGCTCCGCCTCTCCAACGAGATCAGGCCTCCGTACTACTTCGACCAGGGTACCAGATATTATTAGTTCTTTATTATTGGCGTGGTGTGATCTCGACGCTAAAGTAATGCTGGGAGAGCAGAGAGTACGCTCGACTTTTCACTCCTCAAGCGAGGCTACGTCGAGCCCCCGCCTCCGAAGCAGCTCCCGGCCGGCCGGCGGCAGGATCGGGGCGACCCGCTCCCGGCCCGTAACCCGGCCAACAGCTGGCCGGTGCTGCAGCCCTGGCCGACCTTCGATTCTGGGCTGAACGAAAGCCAGCTCCAGGCCGTGCGACAGGCGCTGACCAACGAGCTGGCCCTGATCCAAGGGCCGCCAGGCACCGGCAAGGTACTCACCGTGTCCGTGGCTTTTGTGTGCAAATGCGCTGACGAGTCCTACTACTTTGATGGCCCGGGCCATCCACAAGACCTTTGTGGGTCTCAAGATCGCGCGCTTGCTGCTGCAAACCAGGCAGCGCACGGCACCGCCAATCCTATGCGTGTGCTACACCAATCATGCTCTCGATCAGGTCAGTACTCTGTGGTTTGGCCGCTGCGGCCTGATAGATCGATGGAGCTAATCACTTGCCTTGCGCCCAGCAGTTCTTGGAGGGAATCTACAAGTTCGAGAAGGACGTCGTGCGCATCGGTGGCCGGTCGTCAAGCACGATTCTTGGAGAGCGCAACATCATGAAGCTGCAGCTCCCTTATGGTCATCGGCTGCTGGGTGCCCGGTGGAATATCAAGCGATCGTGCGTTGACCCCTCACCGCGGCTCGTCCTGCCAGTAACGCGTTTCCTCACCGTCATGGTATACAGGCAAGACGAAGTGTCGCATGCTATCGTCCAGTGTTTGGAAAACCTGCGCAAGGAGAGGCTTTCCTTGAGCGACCTGAAGAAGGTGGCCTTCCCGCACCACCTCCGCTCCCTGTGCGAGGGCCGAGAGGAGGCTGACGAAGCCTCGTCGGCAATGCTGCTCGACCGCTGGCTGGAGCTGCCCAAGAAGAAGCGACGACAAAAAGAGA